CCCTGGGTGCCTACACTGTCTTTGGAACTAAAGGGCAGATGTAATTGCTGTGTGAGTGGATGATGACAAAAGCTGGTATTTTTCCTTTGAAACTGATAAGGTGCTTTACAAGTTCATCACTTTCATGGTAACTAATACCTTTTCTAATTGTTTCATCTTCCTAGGATGCAAAACCTCTTTGTTTTAGTTTTGATTCTCAGATTTCCTTGTGCATCATTTCAAAACACCCTTCTTTTCCAGTTACCACCACCAAAGGTGACGCACCTCTGAGCATCGGAAATTCAAGGCAACAAGCAACTGCTGCAGCTTCTCTGACTTCACATGGGATCTTCACACATCCTCTCAAAAACCTGCAGCACTAGCAGCTTATCTTCAGAAGCAGTAAAAAGTTTCCCTTTCCAAATGCTAAATGGAACTTAATCCTTCCCAAAGGCTGAAAATGGCATAAGTCACGTCATTTTCAAACCATGACATTTCCAGCCTGGGCAGGCTTCCCACAGCTCCTCTGAGTCTGCAAACCCATGGTGTGATGGCTTTTCCCCGTGCTGTGAGGGGCAGAGCATTACTGGGGACATCCAGCTTCCACCCCCACCTCCAGGTCTAAGGCCTGTCTCCCGCACAAGCATCACAACTCTGAGGACGTAGTTTAGGGGGAAAAAAGTTTTATTTCTGACTTGCTCATCATTTTCTGTAACCATCCAGAATATCTGATGCGGGGTGTGACTCAAGTGGGTTTTTAAGTTCTCAAATTTAGACAGACATGCAAACAGGGTTCGTTGTAGATGCATTTCGTGTCTGTGAATGACTCGAGTGCTCTCCTAACACACTCCTTCAAAAGGCTGGCGAGCTCAGCGGTACTGACCCAAACACGGGCTGGCTCCACACAGCCCTGGAGACCAGGGGTTCCGGGGTAGGTGTGCCAGGAACACACGGAGCACTCCCGCACACGCTCCCCGTGTGCCCACCGGAGCCTTGCCCCCCGCGCACACGGCAGCACCCAGCGCGGGCCCAGGCCCCAGGACCACCGGGACAACGGCAAGGAGCACACCCCCGTCGGCTCACCCTTAACGCCCGTGTGCCCCGCTGGCACCTGTGCGCGCCTCCATTCCTTCACGTAAAGAGGGAGACACGGACCAACCCCCCCCCTCCCCCCGGCCGGGCCCAGGGCCGTGTCCGCGCCCCGCGGGCCCATCGGGCTGCCCGGGC